CGTTGAGGAAACAGGCTGGAACCAAAGCAGAGGTATCCTTCAAAGTATTTTAACAGAGCGTAATGAAACTAAACACAGGAAAATTATGGAGGGAACATGTTTCCATAGTATCGTGTTGTTAAGTACCAGAAGGATATTAACAGCTCTTTTAAAATCTCAGTAGAAACGTGTGGAACAAGAAAACAGGGAGAGAACTGTTATTTCAGTTTATTAAGTATCTTGTCATTTGTTATTTTGCCTGGGTACTGGCAGCTCTAACTGCCATGCGGTATTTGTTGATGCCGCTAGCTTCTCTTTCAAGCTTAGGGGACAGAAGTGGAGTTACACAGTCCCTTCCTCATATGTGATGGGTGCACTGGCCTGGCAATGGATTTCAAAAGCTTAGCAAGAAGAAAAAAAATTCATAGGCTGCAACTGTTCTTCTTCAGTAGCAAAAATTTTAGTACTTGTTATATTTGGTATTTATAGGCCAGTAAGACTTCTTGTGAACTCTCTGCTCACTTCAAAGTAATGTCAATATAAAGGTAAGCAGTAGCTTCTTCCCTCTGCAGTGTTCATGCAGAGTTGGCTCCTCTAATATTTATAACTAGCAATATCATCTGTGAGGCATAACTAGTCAAATTTGTATTTGGATGTGTCGATCTCTGATCTTCCAGTTAACCTTTAATGTTATTAATTTTCACTTACGACTACTTTCCTGGCATGGTGTCTCTGCTGGTGCCAAAAAAGGTAACACTATAGTTGAATCAACCTACTGAACATTATGCTTAAGATCCAGATGAATGTGTAAATCTTATTTCTGAAAATGATTCAACAACTTTTATGATAGGTTGAGTCTGTTACTGTTTTTCCAGAAAATCTGCAAGTAGTAACATACAACCTAAAATTTTGCTGGTCAGAAGCTAGATATCTATAGTTGCAAAATCCTGCAGGAGCACCAAAGGCTATTAAGATATACCACCAAGGTGCCATACTGATTACAAAGAAGTTACTTTTATCTGGATTTAATGTAAAAAAGTATCAAAATAACACACTGAATCTTGCAAAGAAAGGATGACTTAGCAGACTGAAGAATTTAGCTGACCTTTTAAAAGGTCAAATAGTCAGAAAATGGGATTTAAATAAGTTTTGGGCAACATTTGATAAATACTAGAATTTCTTCCACGATTCTATAACAAAAATCAGACAGAAAAATAGGAATATTTTAAATGGACTTTCCAGGGTTGTAAGAGAAAATATATAATAAGGATTCATCAGAAAAGCCTGATTTCTATGCATCTTAATCTCAGTAGGGCACCCTTGGGAACTAAAGAGCTGTTGTCCTGTTGCAGTACTTCCCACCAACTGCAAACAGAATGTAAAATGTTCCTAGTATGTGTGTACTAGCTAGGGCATTCTGATCTTACAGCATTTCACAAAAAAAATTCGCAAATAGAAGAGGCAAGGCAGGTAAAATAAAAGATAGTAGAGAATCATTACACATATGAGTAAGTAGACTATTTGAGGAGTGTATCAGCTGAGACAGATAAGCAAAAAGCGTTGGCTCTGAAAATTAATTTACTCCAGAGTTTTTCAGTATAATCTTTCAGCGAGATATATAGCAGATGGTTTAGCACACAGGGAGAAAATAAATGTCCAAATAGCAAATGATAGTTTCTACTATCTTTACCCAAGGAATCTAGATTGATATTTTACTGAGCATACCACGATATCTATGATTCAAAGACTACAAAAACTGGCAACTTACATACATGCAAGTAGAAATTGAAAATACTTACGTTTCGCTTAAAGAGGATAAATTCTGAAAAAAATAGTTGAATAACAGGACGCCTACTAAAAATGCTCAGGTAACGAGTTGTAGGCTCTGTGTATAAATTCCTCTTAGAATAGAAGTAGCAATCTGATATATTCAGCAGCAGTTATGTCGGATGATATGTCTTTGAACTAAAACCAGCTGTCTACTACAAAGAAACAGAAAAAACACAAGCGTCTATGGGGGAGTTCATTGGGAGGTAGAATTGACAGCATTTATCTTCTATACTCAGGAAATAACTCTATCAATAGCTCCTTTTGTGAAATGTTTTTGATGTCTGACAGTTGTTTTCTAGTACTACATCACATGAGCAAGTCAGACGTAATCTCAGACATTCTCAATGGGAAAAAAGAATCAATTAAGGGATTGTGGCTACTTGCTTGATGAAAAGTGTTCTTGTCAGTTTTCTTTATGTAGAAGACCTGATTCACTAGAAGCTGTCTACAATTACGTATGGGTTTGCAGATACTGAACCAAAGGAGACAACCATACTTAACTACTGTGAACTTCAGGTCATAATTCCAAGTGAATCAATACCATTTATCTTAAGCTAAGTAAGTGTAATGAACAAACATCATAAAATATGATTTTAAGATTTAAAGACACAAAACAATGCATCTAGATTTACAGCTAGTGCAAGTGACCAGATAATCAAGATAATATGCATGTCTACATTTCTGTGACAGTAGTACTGATGAATTCATTTCTTGATATCCATGGCATATTTATGCATCAGAGTTGTTTTGCATGAATCACAACTTAGAGGTTTCTTAGTTCTGTGTATTCACAGTTCTCAGTCATTAAGCTACATTAGCAGTTTTAGCCATTTGCATAGATAATACCTGTCTAATAGAAACAGTGGCAATGTTGTAAGGTACAAATTTTACCTCTAAGCTTCATCTGTAATGTACCCAACTATGATATTTTGCAGAGGGCATTGGGATTGTCTTCATAGTAGGACTGTCATTCTTTTGTGTATCATTTAATTAGCAGCGAAGTAATCAGTGGATTTGTGCTAAACTGTCTAAAGTGCGAAGTAGATTAGTTTCAACAAGGGTATGTGTCCTATTACTTACCTTGTGATAAAGACTCCATGTTCAACAAAGAATTACTTCCTAACAGCTTGGATGAGAGAGCCAATGTGTTCTAAATGACTATTGTTGTTTGCTTAGTGAATTTTAATTTACTCTTTGGATCTGACCCACCTTAATAAATATAATTAGCATTTTTAATGTAATCTTTTTGACCATAAGGGCTAGATACTAAAAGTTTTTAAGCCTAACTTTTAAATTTGGAGCACTAGATGAAATGTCCACCAGGTATTTCTAACTTATTAGATGACACTTCTCCACGGTGCCCCGTGACAGGACAAGCGGCAACAGGCATAAACTGCAACACAGGCAGTTCCATCTGAACATGAGGAAAAACTTCTTTACTGTGAGGGTGACTGAGCACTGGAACAGGTTGCCCAGAGAGGCTGTGGAGTCTCCTTCGCTGGAGACATTCAAAACCCGCCTGGACGCGATCCAGATGACCCTGCTTGAGCAGGGCGGTTGGACTAGATGATCTCCAGAGGTCCCTTCCAACCTCAACCATTCTGTGATTCTGTGACTACAGTGTGTCACTATTTTAATCTATATTACAAAATATTTGTAGTTGGTCGCTCTCTTTAAGGTGCATTTTGATTATATGAGTTGAAAGAAAATGTCTTAAATTAATAAATGTGCAGATATTTTACTGTAGTGATTGGTAAGTGACCACAGGACAACAATTTCTGGTTCTGGTGACTTGTATCAGAAAAGGTCAGCAGTATTTGAAAACACAGCTTGGAAGAAGAACAAACCTCACGCTGTGGTACAGATCTGAATTTTAACAGAACAAAACAAAAAAATCATCTGGTTAAGTCAGAGATTTTCTCCAGATGTACTCTGTCAAATCCATCTATTATTTTCTTCAGTATATTTTTCCATCGTATTTTGCATCTTTTATCACAGTTAAGTAAACTGATATATTCATACAGTACAGCCTGGCTAATATAAACTATTTTCTCAAATCAAAATTAAATCTCATTACATAAGTTAGCCGTTATTTAATAGCATTTACTATTGCATTGAAATCTTACTATGTGATAGAAATTAAGAACAAACACACTATCATATTACAAACTGTGAACATAGATAAATCTAAACTATAGTTGAAGAGAAAATATACTTTTATTGCTCTCCACTTGTGGTTTTACTCATTAAACTGACAAAATTCATAACATTCTCAGTCATTTTAATGTAAATGCCATGTAAATTATCTGTCTAATAAACCCTAATCGCTATTTAAAAAACAATAAAGGAATTACATAAATAATGTTGCACATGCTCCACTACTGTTTACAAAATAGTGGTGTTTGTGCAATCACTGGTTCATAAAGCCTTGTCCTGTAACTGAAACTTCATTTCACAGGATCTCTGATTCCTGTGTGAAATGTTATCTTAATAAGGAGAGCAAATGCAGTTGTGTTGTTAAGTGATTAACAAATGGCCTCAGAAAACAAACTCCTCAGCACCCACAGAACGACAGCAATTCAACCTTCCCCATAAAGACCACCAAATGACTCAGCTGCGTACTGGGGGAATTACCTCGAGGGTTCAGGGAGCCCTTTGGTGTGAGCTGCATTGGATGTGCCCACTGGCAAGTCAGAATGAGGCAGCTCTGAGACCCAGGGCCAGGGGTGCCAGTCAGCTTACCCCAAAAAAGCACAGGTTTGGCTACTGATCCACCTAGGGACAGGTAAGAGCCTCTGGCTCCTACTGAGGAGCTACAGGAGCTCCTGCATCCTTGATCTTTGCATAAATATTTATTGGGAAGTTAGCACAACCCAATGAAATGGGGCAGAACATGCAACCAATAGACATGATGAGGCATCAAAGATAGCCATATTAGCCAGCTGGGAGTAAATAGTTTGTAGCCAGTGATCACCTTGTATATAAATCACACCTGCTAGCCTGAGAAGCCAGATTACCTTCAATATTGTTTGCATGAGCAAACCTAAAACTCCTACCTTAAATTATATAGCAAAACTATTCGTTCTTAAAACTTAAAAATAAATATAGAACTATAAACTCAATCTGTCTTTGAAATGGATGAAAAATGCCTTTAAAAGATGCTTACATTATTTGGTTTTTTTCTCTTGTAGATGACAGTCATGTCCCATTCAAAGGATTTCAAGGACGACTTTCACAGTGACACTGTACTTTCCATTTTAAATGAACAGCGCATTCGGGGTATTTTATGTGATGTCACCATAATTGTGGAAGATACTAAATTTAAAGCCCACAGTAATGTGCTGGCAGCTTCAAGCCTTTATTTTAAAAACATCTTCTGGAGTCGTACTATCTGTATTTCAGGCCATGTACTGGAGTTAGATGATCTCAAAGCTGAAGTGTTTACAGAAATTCTTAATTACATCTACAGTTCTACAGTAGTTGTTAAAAGGCAGGAGACTGTAACAGACCTTGCAGCTGCAGGGAAAAAACTGGGAATATCATTTCTAGAAGATCTTACAGACGTTAATTTTTCAAATTCCCCCTGCCCCTATGCATACTGTATTAATGAAAAAGGAACTGTCAAGGAGGAAAAGCATGAAAAGAGACATGAAGACTCAGCTGTCACAAATGGGCCACGAATTACAAACGCATTCTCAATTTTTGAAACTGAAAATAGTGTGTTTTCTCCACTTGATTTGAGAGCAAGCTTTAAAAAGGTATCTGAGACAATACAAACACCTAACATCAGCCTCGACAGAGGTGACATTTGCAAAGATGCTGAATCAGCCAGTACATTAGCTGAACACTCCTATGCAGTTTCTTCAGGGGGAGATGCTTTTCAAGGAACATCTTTTTTTGAACAGGACAACAGCCCTTCATATAAGATAGGCGAAGACCATTATGAAAATCTCAAAGCTACACCACTCATCCAGCCAGGAAAACAGACCTGTAGCACTCCTAAGACAGCCTTTAAGTCCCAGGGTGCTAGTTTGGCTATAGCAAAAACGTCAGCCTCTACAGTAACCAATACAGAAGTCCAACATGAAGCTGTTACTGATCAAACAATTATTTCTTTTCCAAAACCTCAGAATAAAGCAGGAGATTTCCACTTATCCAGAGAAGAAGAAAACAAGTCTGCTAGCATCCCTGTCTCTGTGGCAACTGTGGTTCCACCTGTTTACAACTGTAACTGTTGTACAAAATCATTCGACGATAGAGCTTTACTCAGTACTCATCTTCAGCTCCATTCAGAGCATCAGGAAACTTTCATATGCAAATACTGCAGCAAACAATTTGCAAATCTAAATATACTGGAAGGTCATGAACAAGTCTGTATGAGATCAAGTAGTTTATCTGTTCACAACGGAAACGAACAAAATTTTTCAGATAACTATACTGCTACAGACGGAAGGAATGGAACTTCATATGCAAACACAGAGCCTCTATTGTCTGAAAACAGCATAACTGATTATTCTAATGCAAACTGCACTTTACCAGAAACGGATCATTTAGTTAAAGTTGTTGATGGGCAGATATTATACACTTGTATAGTTTGCAAGCGTAGCTATGTAACATTGTCTAGCCTTCGAAGACATGCAAATGTACATTCATGGAGAAGAACATATCCTTGCCACTACTGCAACAAAGTATTTGCATTAGCTGAATATCGCACCAGACATGAAATCTGGCACACAGGAGAAAGACGATACCAGTGCATTTTCTGTCTTGAGACTTTTATGACTTATTATATACTAAAAAATCATCAGAAATCTTTCCATGCAATTGACCATCGTCTCTCAGTAAACAAAAAAACAGCCAATGGAGGCTTAAAACCAAGTATGTATCCATATAAACTTTATCGACTTTTACCTATGAAATGCAGGCGACTACCTTATAAGTCCTATCGAAATTCTTCATATGAAAATGTTCAAACAAGCAGTCAGGTTAATGAATCTACTTCTAGTAACTGTTTCATTCCCAGTTCTCTTAGTTCTGAGTTACCATCACTGAATTTTCAAAGTAATATATTAACAAACAGCAGAACTCTTGCCTTGGATACATCTTCACGTAATGATACAGCATCTTCTACAAATACTCAGAATTCTTCCTCCTGGGGAGTAGGTATATTAAATTCTGACCTGCAAAGTGACTTTTTCACTGCAGAAAAAACAGTTTCCACTGTTGCAAATGCTTCTGGTTCTCAGGAATGTGATTCCTCAATTGTGTCTTTTACTAATGTGAAGGAAAATTCAACCTCTGTCATCAGTTACAGCAGTTCTGCACCTTCTGTTATAATGCACAGTAGCAGAGTTTCATCGGTAATAATGCATAGTAAAGCAGTCACTTCTGTGGAAAATAATAAGGCAGAATCTTCAAATAACCTGTCTAGTCAATCTGTAAGTGATGATTGTAAACATGGGTCAGATAATTATGGCAAATGCATTACTAAATCAAAAACCATTAAGGAGAAAAAGAAAACACTGCTGTACAACAAAGCAGAAGTGAGTGAGGATTTGCAATACATCACAGGAGCTGGAGGTTCATCTAGCAAAACAACAAATACTGTTCAAGAGTCAAGTAAAACTGAAACATACATTGCAAAGCCTGCCCTACCTGGAACATCTACCGACAGTAATGTTGCTCCTCTTTGTCAAATAACAGTAAAAATTGGAAATGAGGCTATTGTGAAAAGGCATATTTTAGGATCTAAACTGTTTTGTAAAAGGGGCCGAAAATCTAAATATGAGTCTAAGCAGGACAATCTAGTTGAGGAATCGGAAATGGAGATAAAAGAAAGAAGCCCGTCTCAGCTCTACAGCTCAGAATGCATGGAGCTGACTGAAATGTGTGATGATGTAAGTGATCAGGATTCCAGTGATAAGCCCTGGAGACCTTATTACAATTACAAACCAAAAAAGAAATCTAAACAGCTAAGAAAAATGAAAAAGACCAAATGGAGGAAAAAGCATGGAAATAAGAACACCATTACGGAAAGTCACAACATATGCAGTCGAGAGTATGCCCTCAGGAATGCACCTGAGGAAAAGGGGATCAGTCAAGAAGAAAACACAGAGATGCCTAACCTTCATTGTGAGCTCTGTGAAAGAGACAAATCTTCCACTGCAGAAAGTCAAGAACACATACACTGGCATGTAGCTACTTCAAAGCCTTACATTTGTGAATTATGCCAAAAACAATTTCAAAGTCCATCCACCTTAAAAATGCATATGAGGTGTCACACTGGGGAAAAGCCCTACACCTGCAAAACCTGTGGTAAGTGTTTTTCAGTTCCTGGAAACCTACAGAAACATGAACGTATTCATTTGGGTGTCAAAGACTTTGTTTGCCAGTACTGCAATAAGGCATTCACTTTAAATGAAACACTTAAAATACACGAAAGAATTCACACTGGAGAAAAGCGCTACCACTGCCAGTTCTGCTTACAGAGCTTCTTGTATCTTTCTACCAAAAGGAATCATGAGCAAAGGCATGTACGTGAGCATAATGGAAAAGGATATGCTTGCTTTCAATGCCCCAAAATTTGCAAGACAGCAGCTGCTTTGGGAATGCACCAGAAGAAACATCTATTCAAAAGTCCAGGTCCACAAGATAGGAAAGAACATTTTTGCAGTGAAAGTGCTAAACTTTTGGAAAATCAACATTTCCTTGGCTCAGAAGGGAATGAAGTGAGAAATATACAAAATATAACTCCAGAAGTTATACTCTGAGTGATGGTTGTGCAAAAGAGGAGAAAAATCCAAATATATATATATTGGACAAAATGCATTGAATGGGGAAACTTCTCCACTCAAATCAGTATCATTTACAAAAATAAAGATCAAATTTCTTCATCTAAGTGTATGTCAATATATGCAAAAGAAGAAGGGGAAAAAATTACCGTAAAGAAAAACTAGTATTTTGCAATAATACAAACTTAATGTGAAAGAGAATGAGAGCGTGACCCAAAATACTTTTGCCACTATAGACTTCTAATATATACATACAGAGAAAGAAGAAGAAGAAGAAGAAGAAGAAGAAAAAAAGACTGGTCAAACCCTACTCCTTAGCATCACAAGAAACTAGCCACTGAACTATTTCACAGTGCTGTTGTTGAGTCAGAATCATTCTGGACATAATAAATATGTAGGTTCAAAGTATACTCTGTAGAAGGAGACTGTGCTGCAGAAACCATATATTGCATTTTTTAAACAAAAAAGTAATGTGTTTATAAACAAAATAATTGTGGTATAGTGTATTCTGAAGTGAAGGTGGGAAACGTTTCATGAATTTGAGTATGCTGAAGTACAGTTGAGTTCTGGAATGCTTTTCTGTAGCTCAGCATTTACAAAACATACAGGAGTATAAATTTCTTTACCTGTCCGTATTCAATTTTGCAATTGCCGTGATAAACATTAAGTCTCTGAGTGCTAATGTGGAAAGTAATCCAGATTTATCATATCTCTGAGACATTTAATAAAGATTCAGTGCAACTTATAATAGTCAGTCTTCCAAACTGCTTAAATCCCAAAAGAGTCAACCATCAATGGCCTGTTAGGGCTATTCAGGTGCATCTGTCTGAAGAAAATCCTCATGCTCTGTTCCCATAATTAGAAAGTTATGAAACTGCCCAGCTTAAAGAAATCATGTATATAAACTTCCACCTCCTGGTAAGCGAGCAGCTCCTGCCTTTTAGAAAAATAATTCTTTGCAGGAGAAGAGGTGGAGATTTAGGCAGAGAATCTCCCTCCTCCTCCTCTTGGAATAATTCCTGGACAGCAAATGACAGAGCTACTCCCAATAAATTTGCTTTTGGGAGGAGTAGGCAAATGCTCATGTTCTTGCTTCCATATATATCCCTGAGGCAGTCCCTAAACAACTGGGGATAGGGCCAGTTTGTGGGGTTCTTCATCATCCCCATGCCTTAAACACAACATCTAACCTTCCATATGTCCCTTCCCAGTGATCCCTCTAAACATGCCAGCATCTCACCCTACTCAAGCTTCTGCGGGGAGTCCCTGGTCCCAGCACAGTGGACCCATAGCAGAGAGGTGCCAGGCACCAGTTCCTAGAGGAAGAAGTGTTGGCCCCTTCACCTCTGTCACCCTGCCACACGTGAGGGTTATGGCGAGCCTTATGGTTCGATGTGATGCTAAGAATCAGGAAAAAAAGGCTTCTGGAAGACATCGCTAAAATAAACCTTACAATTAATATTGTTCTGTGAAAATATGATTCATTTTAAATGAGATGAAGTGATTTGAAGAGACGAAGAAGGATATATGCCTACGAGTTGCATTTTATATGATAGGGCTCTGTTGTACTGTATCTGCATTTCCCATTAGTCATGTACTTTGATCTCTATGAAGTGTTAAAAAAATAAGTCAGGACAAAGGTTAGTGAACCTCAACTTCATTCTATGTGCAAATATGGTACACTTTGTTTACTTACTTTGTTTTCTTGAATATTTTAAAAGAAACTATAGCTTGGGTACAATAAAACTACAAGTGAAAAGATAATACAGTATTGATTTAAGTAATAATATAGTCCACTTATTTATTCTATCATTGGTGAATGCTGTGAACCCAGGAGAAATTTTTGGTTTCATGGCAGCTTTGGTTCCATTTAAATAAGAATATAGAAGAATAAATGTAGGAAAGTACGGTGATGTTTCAAAGAAAGTTCACAGGAGATATTTTCTAAGTGGGCTTGTATGATGTTAATTATAGACCAAAGCAAATAAGGTAGAATATTTATACATATAAAGATAATTTTACAGATATTTTATATAACTGTATAGTTCATAAGAAAAATATTGATAGCTTGTGTTAGGTTTGGGGGTTTGTATATTTTGATAAAAACTCAATGACTTTGTAACTCTGTATATTCTCTACAATTTATAGCAAAGCAGTTTTAAGATGGCAATGTCATGTTTATAGTTCAATTGTGGCACTTTTACTACAAGTAACACGTTGCAGTAATGAGTCAAGTATTAATGACCAAATTAGAATTAAAGTAAGTGTAAGAGATGGTAAATACTACACGTTGTCAAAGACTGTAATTTGCTACATAATGCATCTGTATTTTTGTTTAGAAGAAAATATTAAATGCAGATGTTAAGGATTGATAAAGAGTCTAATTTTATTTTCAGAAAGAGTGATTATAACCCTGTTTTTGCTTGATTAAAATAACCTCTTCCTATTTTTCTGTAAGTCTCTCCATTTTTTAAATTATGTTAATACTTTTACAATCTCTATAATCCAGAGATACGTATCTTCTAATATGTATTTCATTATAAGATTAAGCAACACAGTTACCAAACATTCCCTTCATTAAGGTCAGAACAATGAATCAAGGACAGTCCGGACCTCAAGGGAAGTGATGGTATCTCCTGGCATCGTACCATTAAGGGTGAATGCACAGTGCTGAGGTGAACAGAAACTACCTGCCCAGTATCTCAGAGGACCTGGAAGACAGGTGAACTACTTCTAATGCTTTTCAACAGATTAAACGTGTTTTTATGAGGACCGAAACTAACAATTTCAAAAATTCTTATTTTTCATTTAAATTCTGATGGTAACTTTGCAGTATAGATTGTGTGTTTTACACACTGTGCTTCACATCTTTTGGGACTACTGCCAAGACACAGTTCAGAATGCAAATATCTTATTTCCATATGAAAAGATGAAGATAGATACAAAATAGAAGACTATGCATATAGTCAGAGTACTCCTGTCTTCAGCTAGGTGTCACTAGCCATGCTTTAAAAATTAAGTTAAAGCTAAATTATGTAGGTCATTTTGGGATGGTCCTCAGCAGAGATGTATAACTGAACAAGAGAACCAGAATCTGAACTCAGAATTTGGCTGTATGTATTTTCTCTCCCTATTTCAAATACTAATAAAACAGACAAACGGATCATCACAAAGTTTGTGCATCTAGACAAAATGTTAGTCAACCTTCATTTAAAATATATGCAAAATTAAAACAAAGTCACTGAACAGTACTGCTGTCATCTGTGAAATGAGATAATCTGATATGGACAAACTGCAGGCAGAAGTGTTTCAAGTAAGCTAGTTAAGTATTATCATCTCTTTTGTTTGTTCTAAACTTCTTCAGCATAGCATTTACCACTGACAGTTCAACACCTTAGCTAATGTCAAAGGTTATCTCACAAGACCAAAATGCCCCTACTTACATCCTCATTTTCACATAAATAAATCTTTGCTATAAGTTGCAATTTATAGCACACCAGTCTTTGCCGTAACTTTGTCCTTAGCTGAGCAGATCTACCTGTTAGGTAGATTGCCTTAAACGTAGCTTCATGAGAGGGGCCAAAAATGAACATTATGCAATCAAAAAAGTATTCTGTATATAGTATGTTAGATTAAAAGAAGGCACCTTTAAAATAAAATTGATTTGCCAGCAATTAGACAACAGTAAAACTAAAAGTTACTTTGATAATGTTGACAGAAGGCCTGTGTTTCAGAGGAAACTGATGCAGTAAATTGTAGCTGTAATCATTTCAGATAACTTTTGATAAAGTATGTAAGAACTAGAGGTAGAGATATGTGATCTAATTTTTAAAATTTTGCAATACACAGTTTAACCATAAAACTTCATTTTCAGGATGCTACTCGGTTACATTTTCCAGATTGAAGTTTTAACTCTACCCGGGCTTGTCTCAGTTTGCCACGCATACATTAGTTAGGGTGGCCAACCTAGTGGAAACCAACTGTAGATAATCAAATTCTCAAGCTATAGCATAGATGAAGTTCTCATTTCTAACAGGGAAAAATTCAGCTTATGCAAACGGTTTCTTTGTGCAGATTTGGGGTTTGCATGAATGCAAATGCCTCTGTTACCAGCACGATGAAGCAGCTTATTCCCCATCAGCCCCATGCCCTGCAGGTTGATCGCTCCACCTTGAAACACGCACCTCTCCTCCCCCAGCCAGGATGGGGGACCTGGGAAGGAGGAAGCAAATTCACAGCTGGGGAAGCAGGAGCAGTGGAGAAGCTGGATGCAGGAGAAGCCACCAAGCAACAAGATACAGCAGTGGTCTGTATCGATCGATTATATCATAGATGCAAGATCTGCGGGAGAGAAATAAAAAGTGGTCAGGGAACCATGGCGGAGGATGTATTAGAGACAAGTGACTCACGCTGGCCTGAAAAGCTCCAAACTTGGTTTTGCTTCAGCAGAGGGGTGGACTGAAAAGGGTTTTCCGTAAGGTGCAAGAATCCCAAACTTCTACTAAGTTACATTCTAAAACAGGTTTTCTCTTGTCAGCCAACAAAACGACCTTCTGTTTCTGGAGGTGCATCGGTGACTAGAGGGACCCGCCGAAGTAGCGCATGCAGGGCCTGGAGGCCGATGGCCTGCCAGCGTCCACTTCCGAGTTTCAGTGACCCGGATGTGCTGTCTGCAACAGAAATTTGGTGGATTATGCAGATATAATGAAGCCGTCCACCACTGACGCTGGGACTGGGGTAATTACGGACACAGACAACACCTCAGAGAATTTCAAATTAGGGTCTTGTGTCTTCAGGAAACATCAGCGTAAAATTTGGTGTAAAGGCCTTTTAATTCTTGGTGAGGGTAAGCTGCAGCACTTTATTTTTAGCCTACTAACACGTTCAGTTCATTTAGGACTCTGGTGACTGAAGAGCTGCCCATTTTACTTCACGCGGAGTCACCGTATTTGTTTCCTGAAGAAGCACTGAAAGCTGAACCAGTTTCTACTTGTTTAATGTCATTTCTTGTGAGGTTGAGAATACAATTGTAAATCAGTAACAGGAGGAAAAAAGAGATACAAGAGAAACCACCACACACATTTCATTATGCCCAGGAGATTTGCGCTGCGCTATGCCAGCAATCAAAGCAGCGCCACAGCTCGCTTCAAACGTTCATTAACAGCTGAAACTCCCTTTGTCTAGTGTAAATGATGGGAAAAAAAAATTACGGCGAGCTGTGGAAGCGGCCGAAAAGACCAAGCCAGGGGTATGGGTCTACGGGGGTGAAATCACGACAGACGCCGTCGCTCCCCCACCACGGCGGAGGGGGGCGCGGGGGGAGGGGCGCCCCGCTGCCGCAGTAACGGCCGCCCGCGCACGCGGCGCCGCGCCGGGGGTGGCGCTGCCGCGCCAAGGCCTGCTGGGAGGGGGCGCGAGCGCGCATGCGCCCCCCCCCCTCGCCACCCG